AATGCTCTCCCCTAAAATCCAAGAGAGCATTCATAAGCTCTTCATCATCATGTGGGCTACGCGCCTCACCCCAGTGTCTTGGGAAATCAGTGAGACTATCCTCATTGACAAAAACAAAGGAGAGGAGACAGATATATCCTCCTACAGACCCATTGGTTTAGCCAACACGCTTTACAAGCTCTGGACGCGCATGGTTACTAATACTCTCTATGAGTATGTAGAAGCACACTCCCTCCTGAGCTCTACACAAGCTGGTTTTCGGAATCAAAAAGATACTATCCACCAGCTCCAGAATGTCATCATGGGACTTGAAGATGCCAAAATTTCCGGAAAAGACATCTATGCCCTCATTGTAGATTTCACTTAACCCTTCAATACTACAGACCATGACAGGATGCTCTGGATAATGTACGATTTAGGCTTCCCCACTGATGCCATAGACACCGTCAAAAATCTATATGAAAATGCCACTATTTAAGTGAGACTGCCCTCAGGGGTTAGCACTAAGCAAATTCACGTTGAAAGAGGTACAATTCAAGGTGATACACTCTCACCATTTCTCTTTCTCCTCTACATGGAGCCTCTCCTGCGTTGGCTGCATGTCGGGGGGCGCGGCTACAAACATGGATGTGTCCCAGGCCAAAACCACCACCGACAACCACCTTGCAAATAACCTTAGTAGCGCTGCCTTTGCTGATGACCTCCTCTGTCCNAACACAAGCTTGGATATGCCAATGCCAAAACAGGCTACTACTCTTACTATCAAAACTTGTTACTGTGAGTAGATAAAAAAATCAGCAATGCCTTCAGAAATATGCCCAACATTTCTGTACCCAAGAAGCGTACCATCCCGCAGTACCGCACAGGCACCCTCTACAACCAAAAACATGCAGTACGCTTCAAAAGGTCAACAGATCCATCTTGTCCCCTCCCAGGCTGCCATCATTTGGACAGCGCACTACACTTGCTCTCAGGCTGCCAAAACCAAATCATTTCCAACATGAAAACTGAACGCCATAACATTGCAGGCAGAATGATTACAAAAGCCCTCAGCAAATGCCCTGTAGGGGCAGGCCTGGTCTACACAGACATAGGAAGCGATTTTAAGCTTGCTAATTCAGCTATGCTGATGGTTTTAGTAATCCCGGCACCGTTTGGTTTGACAAAGTTCTTACTGTCGGTGGACGGGCAGTAGATGCCTGCTCCAATTCCTTGCTTACCGTTATGGACAAGGCAGCTGCCATCTGTGTATGCCCATGTCCTCCAATCAGCAACTTTGAGAGTTAGAATAGCACTGGATTTGCTGGGCACCGAGTCTGTTTCTTGGACGATCACGTGTGGATTTTTAGGGTGTTTGGAGGCGTGTTGTTTGTCCAATGGGAGGCGTTCTAGTTTATTGAAACCTGGCATGTGAGCATGCATGGGGTTTAGGACAGGGTGGCTGCTGACATTTGTCAGCTTCCATTGTGTGGCTGCTTTCAAATCTCCTTTTAGGCCTTGTAGCCAGTTTTTGTTATGGTTGTTGAGATGAACTCGAGCTGCAGTGTTCCAAACAGCAAAGATACAAAGGTCCCAGGTATGCTGAGGTAGAGGTATCTCTTGGTTAGGACAGGATTGAGGGGCACTGTAACCAAGTTCTTTGCGAGGTACGGTGCCAAGGTCGAAACAGAGGTGGGGGTAGGCAGTGACAAGTTTGGAGTAGGGTTGGTTATCATGTCCTCATTCCAAGCCGGAAGGAACATGAATGTAACAGTGGCTTCTGTGTTGAGAATGGCAGAATAAATGGCATGTTGCAAAGCTTGGGTCATGATTCCCTCATCATAAATGGGATGGCAGACTGAGAGGCCTGAGAATTTGGATGAGAAGGCATTATGCATAGCACCAAAAAGAGTGTCTCGGGAGTGCGCACTCCAATAATTCTGGTGTTGTGGGTTGTGGCCTAGTGGGGAGGCCATTTTTTCTTGGTTTACCAAAGCCCATTTGTGGAGGGCAGTATGAATGTGAGTTGGAAGGGCTCGTGAAAAAGAGTCTTTGATCTTCTTGCTAGAGTACTTTCTTTCAAGTATGGATTTGCGAAAAAGGAGTACTTGCAGCTCAGTAGCAAAGCTGTCAGGAGCTGGTGTTATTTTCTCGTGCATGCCAGCAAGCTTGGCCCCATAAAAAGCCCTGTAGAGGATTTGGAAGCGGTTCGGGGATATCATACCAACACACTTGCCTTGTGTATTGTGTATGCAAGCCATGTGGGCCGTGCATATTTCTGGGAGAATGAGGGGGAAAGGAGTAGGAGGGGAATGGCTGTGGGATCCTGTACCTGATGATGCTGGATGAGGGGGTTGCTGATCCGTGTACTTCACGAGGTCAACCTCGCGCAGCCAATATTCGCATGAGCCTGTAGGTTTCATGTCTGCTTGTGGATAAGTGGGGTTTGTGTCAAATGTGATTTCGTTGCACAATTTTGTGTCTATTTTTGGCTGCCTTACATTGGTTTCACTAGGTTTTTCAAAGCCCTGTCTTTCAAGATTTGAGAGGGTAGAATCTGCTGTGGGTGTTTTGAGGTTGGGCTTGCTCTGTTGTGCTTCAAACTTAAGCAAACACTCTTCAAATTTGGGCCATGTCTCCTGTAGATCTTCTGATTCCCAGGAGGGCTTCCATTTGACCCTCCTGAATTTTTGTTTAGTCTGCCACTCTTTCAGTTTTTTGGGCATCCTTTAGGCTTGCACAGGCGGGACATGCCCATGTGTAAGCTGTTGCAATTTCTTGTCTTTGCTCATCCGAGTAGCATCCAAGCTCCTTCATGCATTCCCAATGGTACGTCCGGTGGCACACATCACAAATATAGGTATCAGGAAATGGATGCTCCAAGGTTCCAGTTTCATAACTTTGGTAGTAATTGCATATTTGGCAGCAGGCACGCTCAATATCAGTGTGAGCAGCAGGTGAGACAACTTGAGGCACAAGTTTAGCTTGTTTGAAAAGTGGCAGGGCCCATTTTTCAATAATCATAGGTGCGTAATGGGTATGGTATTGCACTTGGAGGTGGGCGGGGGAGCTTGATTGTTCTCTCTTGTTCTCCGCAAAAATTCTCCAATCATCTATGTAAGTAATATCTAAATCATGGTAAAAGATAGAACTGACAGCATATGCCAAGCCATGCATGGCTTGCAGTAGTCTCTTTAGCAAGTTTCTCAGCTGTGTTTTTCCTATAGTTCCAGACTTTTGTGCCTTGGGAAAGCGAGCTTAGAGAATGGATAGCTGGGGAAATGATCTCTCTGTCTGTGTGGAGCAATTGTTGCCTCTTCTTTCTGGGTCTGTTTGTTTGGGTATTTAGGCTGGTTGATTCACACAAGGCCACCAAGCTTGCTCTGAAGCTTCATGCTCATTCTGTCCTGTATGCTTATAAACTTGCCAGCACCAGACGAGCTCTGGAGAAGACTTCTTTCGAGTCTCATCAACAAGGTCAGGCGCGGGACTACTGCCAGTACCCTCCCTGATCCCCACTGACTTCTTTTCTCATTTTTCTCTTGGTGGAGGGGAAATACAGTGCCTTGGTCCCGAGTCAGCTCTTTTCCTTCATTGATTTGCACACGTGGGGAGTGTTTACACTGCCTATGCAGTTTTCTTTCTTTTCTTCTCTGCAGTGGGGGAAATTCGTTCCTCATTCAAGTGAGTATTGATTAGGCCGCTTACATGTGTGTTGTGGACGCAAACTAATCTATTCTCTGCGATGTTATAGGATGGTGCACTTCATGGGCGTGGATATATATGACATGTCCCCGAAATCATATTGCTGAGAGTAGTAATGTTTGAGCGTTGACAAATCCAAGTTTGTGTTTGGTATCCATGTGAGACATTAGAGCATTTTGGAGATTGGGGAGGTAGGTGAGGTCAGGAGCAGGTGAGGGGTGTGTGGATGTGCCCGCACATGTTCTCTCTTCTCTTCCTTGGCCATCCAGAAGAAAGATGTTAACAGTGGAATGTGTTAATGGATTCCACAGGGACCTGCGCTGAAAGTGAGGGGAGCTAAGCATGACTTTGCTTGGGTTGAAGCTTTTACAGAAATTTTTCTGTAAGAGGTGCAGGGAGTGGCTGTTTTGGAGTACAAGGCCAGGAAGAGAATGTACACACACCCTGCAAAGGAATGAAGTTTTTGAGCTCTGGGAGCTGTGTCGGGGTGCTGGGGTTTCTGAGTGGATCGAGCAATGAGTGGCAGAACGTGGGAATGTCAGGGGCAGGGCGCATAGCACTGTGGGTTGCATGGGACCCTGCGTTTGCTTGTACTGAAGCCTTAAAGGGTGTTTTGGGCGTGCTGCCCGGCAGAGTGCGTCTCCTTCACAACCTCCTAGTCCTCAAAAGGTGGCAAGAGTCCCAGTCCAGCACCCTCAGCCAGCGAGTAGCCAGCCTGAAATGATCCCACAAATCAGACCCACCACCAAGCTGCATGCTGTTCTTCCCTGGGGAAAAGCCCCTGTTTGTGGGCAGCATGTTTTGCTACAGGAAAGGAAAAGGGCTCAGCTCACTTTCCATTCTTCTTGTTCTTGTGCAGGCCAAGCCCAAGGCACGTGCTTCCATTGCCACCAGCCTGGCCACTGGTAAGCTGTGGGGGGCATTATGGTCTGGTCTGACTCTGTGGGGGTCTGTTGTGGTCTGTCTGTCTGTCTGTCTGTCTGTCTGTCTGTCTGTCTGTCTGTCTGTCTGTCTGTCTTTCTGTCGTAACTCTGTGGATTGTTTCCACCGGACCAGACGAGTGGGTGCTGGGTGCAATGGGCAGAGGTGATGTCCCCTTAGACCTGTCGTGGAGGTGTGCCTCTCATCATCATGCATCAGTCCAGTTCATGTATGATTGACGTGACATAATGTCAATCATTGCGTCCGTTTGATTCATGAGACTGACTTTCCTGCATTATTCATGATGATATGAGTGTTAGTAGCAAAGTACCAAATGTGTGAGTAAATGAGTACTAAATAATGTGATGACATAAGTAGTATTACAACATCTTCAGAGCGAAGTGGCGCAGTGGAAGCGTGTTGGGCCCATAACCCAAATGTTCCAGGATCGAAACCTGGCTTCGCTAGCCCTGATGTGGACCAGATTGAGGGCCCAGTGCTCTAGTACCCCGCCCGCCTAGCTCAGTTGGTAGAGCGCAAGGCTCTTAGTGAGACGCAAGCAGCCGAATCAGGCTGGTGTCACCTTGTGGTCCGGGGTTCGAGCCCCCGGGTGGGCGCTTTTTGGATGCTTTCCTGCATGGCCCTCTCTCTGGATTCGCTTTTGGTGGGTACTTCTCCATGCCCCTCCGGATATGCTTTGGGTTGGTACCCCTGGAGTTGCTTTTGGTGGGTACCCCTCCATGGCCCTCTGGATTTGCTTTGGGTGGGTACCCCTTTCATGGACCTCTGGAGTTGCTTTTGGTGGGTACCCCTCCATGGCCCTCTACATTTGCTTTGGGTAGGTACCCCAAAAAATAGCCCTATGGATTCCTTTGGGTTGGCCTCAACATAGCGCAATGCTCTTGACACATCGCAAACAGTCATATCAGACTGGTGGTACCTTGTGGTCCGGGGTTCGAGCCCCCGGGTGGGCGCTTTTGCTGGCCTCCTCCATGGCCGCATGGGTTTTGAACGTGAAAATAGCCTTTTCCTTCACTGGCCTTCCTTTATCCTTCGAGTCAGGGACAGGATCCCAACCTGAATAGTCCCTGATTTTCAGGGCATTGCCAAAGAGGTGAGGGTCCCTGTCAAAGGAGACAATCATGAGGCCGACCAGAAGCTGCACAGTGTAGCCAGTGACCACTCTACTCTCAATTTTTTCCTCCTATACTCAAACCTCTCACCTCCATGTCCCTGACTGAAGGACCTGAGCATACACTGCTGAAATGCCTGAAGGGCTTATCAACAACTTGGGTCAGGTGTCCATGGCCCACTCACTGTTACACCACCTTAATATGCACACCTCATGGTTCCTGGCAACTCTAATGTTGATCCTGAAGTCCAGGCTAGCTTGCATGAGGAATCATCTTGCCAAAAGCAAGACCTGGTGTGCACACTCGTCCGTATTCGGGAATTCGTGTCAGGAAGGGGGAGAGCGAGCAAGAGCCATATGAAATGGCATGTTCCTGAAGCCACGCTCACGCTTCAAATTAGTGTAAGTGTGAGAGAAGTTTGGTGCAACATGGAGTGCCTTTAAGTGTCGCTTTCACAAAGGCTTTGTAAATGGAACAGGCTTGTATCATACAATCCAAGAGGGGGCTCCTGAGGGGTTCGGGTTTGGGTGCGTGCAGCAGTGGAGACCAGAAGCAGGACAGCCCGGGCGTTGAGAGCATGGGGGGAAACCTTCCAGATCCATTTCAGCTCTGTTTTTGGCTTTCGCCAGCTATGTCTTGCGTAGATTTGAGGGCCACTTGGTAAGGCCCCTGCTAGTTTGCCAGTTGGGGAGCCTTGAAGGAGTTCTTTAATGCATGCACCCTCTGGCCACGTAGATTCCTCTTCATCACAGGTGATTTCACATTATTAGTAATTTACTGTAGTTTGCCAACATTTTTTCTACTCCAACGAGGCCTTTTCTGTAACTCTCAAAAGACTGGTTTCACCATAATTTTACATCTCCCCACATCAAATTAGGAGGTGGCTAATTGACCTCGTTTCACACTCAATGTCTATGCTTTGAAAGTCGAGAATGCCACTTGAGACGACTCTCTTTCTCCCCCCATGTGATCTCTTTGTAGGGGTGTTCACGCCCCGAGGTGACTTTCACCAAATGACTTGAAAATTTGAGAATAGGTGCACATTTGGTAAATATTAAGGGCTGCAAAGTTGGATTTTCGAAAATCGGCCCAGGAGCGTGCTCAGGGGAGCTCCCAACCTCGTTTCAGATCAGATCATGAGGTTTCCACACATACTCTTTAATAACTGGCCAGGGAACTGCCCAAATCTTGTAATTTTACTTTTACAGATGCCTGCTATTGAGAGCTATCTGTAGACATGCTAAATGTGGGGAACAACTCCCAGATAGGCAAGATGACTTGGAAAATGTGTGCTTTTTGCCCATTTTGGTCATTTTGCCCACTCAAAACATGGCATAAAAGATGTGGAGTGCTGTTTCCCTGTCCCTGACTTGGCATAGGTTCTTGGCATAGTATGATAAAACAGCACGAGCAAAATGGGGCGGAAACAATGTTGCTCAGCGCTGATGCTTGCRAGAATCATTGKTTTTMTAATGCTTAAAATGTACGTTTGAGCCCACTCCTGAKCAGCCAGGCAATTTTTTTGCGCAATTCTTGCTGCTAACCTTTCCTGACATCACAAGGTATCCAACGGTGTGCTTCTTGARRAAAACMGATGACTTTGAGAATGACCCAAATTTTTAGGTGCTAATTTGCCTAAGTGCTGACACAAAAAATGGCTTTTGGTGCATCAAGCGCCTTCAGGATGATTGTTTTGGCACGAAACTCGGCATGGGGGTCRAGCATGATGTTTTGAAGAGMTTGTGTGTYGGAAATTAGGATTGTGCAGGTGTGTGGGTGCCTGCTGGGGGAAACGTGCTCATTTTCCAGGCATAAATGCATGCTGGGTGTGGCTAGCTGCGGTTCACATAGATGTGTTTAGAGAAAACGTGAAGCTGTTCAAGCGCCCTTGCCTGAGCACACCGCCATGCATATCTCCCTTGTCCTTGCATGCCATCCCCTGAAAACTTACCCAGACCTCCCAGGTACCCAGAGCCACCCTACAACCCAGGGCCTGCAAGGTTTGGGTCAGCGCATGGTCAGCTGTCCAGCATTTTGCGTTTTGGTGATGAGCATGCAGGAGTGGTGTCAGGTGTGCTGCAGAGGCGCCCCCTGGCCTCAAATGCATGAATTTTGACTTTATTAGCCCTAGCATGTGCTCCTTAAGTGCTGGAGTGCACTCAGCAGGCCAGCTGGGGTGCATGTATGTGCGATGTACCCCATGCCACCCACTCAGCATGTTCAAAGCCAGCAGCTGAAGCAGTCTGGCCGCAGGGTGTCCCCTTCCTCATGTCTTGGAGCACGTCTGGGACAGGGTGGGGCAGGCTGTCCGAGCTGCTGCAGGCTCCAGGGTGCTCCTTCCTGCTGGTCAAACCTCCGCGACAGTTGCTGCCGCTCCAGCTGTGCGGATTCGCTGCCCCAAAATTTGAAAAATGATTCATTGGATAAAAGAGAGTACTCGTGCCCCAAAAGCGGCGAGTTTGGTAGTCCGTCAAGGAGGCGATGTCGCGAAACCAGTCAAGTTTTCGAACCTGACAGCTAGTGCACCGGGCCTCATAAAACGAGTGCAGACGGACTTTTTGAGTTGCATTAAATAAGTTCGACCCTTCAAATTGAGCTCCACGTGTTTTTGGGGAGGGGGGTCCGGACTATGTCTGGCCTCCCACCTCCTGTCCTATCTCCCTAGCCACTGCACCATCCCAGATTCTGAGACCAGTTTTGCTGCCCCATCTTACACCAGAAAACCTTTCATGAAGTCAAAAATGGCATTGGAGCAACTTGGTCTGGGGGTGAACAGCCCTACTCTGGAGTTGTTTTGGGTGGGTACCCCTTTCATGGCCCTCTGGAGTTGCCCTTGGTGGGTACCTCTTTCATGGCCCTCTGGAGTTGCTTTGGGTGGGTACCCCTCCGTGGTCTTCTGGATTTGCTCTGGGTGGGTGCCCCTCCCTCTGGATTCACAGAAGGGTTTGGTTCTCACATTAATCCCACAACCTGACGCCCGCCTAGCTCAGTTGGCAAAGCGCAAGGCTCTTAGCAAATCGCAAGCAGTCGCCCTCAGGTTTGTTTCCTTTCTTTTTCTTCTTGTTCCCCCTTTGGAAGGCCTTCAGTTTAGTTGCACAGTACGCGTTCCAGAGGCTCCAGTACGCGTACGCGTACCATTCGTACCGGTACCCGGCACGGAAGGCCAGGAGAGCGGGAGAGACGCGGGGGCAACCCCCTGGGAGCGAGCAGCAAGCCTACGATAGTGAGGGCGCTGCGCGCCGGCCCAAATTTAACAGGCCCATTTCATCGAGTCCAGACTAATTGTCTACGAAATCTTATGCAGAAAGGACGCCTGGCAGCGGCGGAATTCCCGTCCAAAGTGCGTCAAACCGAATCGGTTGGCCCATTTTTCGGACGATCACATAGCAAGCGCCTTTACAAGGCGGGCCCAAATTTCGCCAGGACTCCCGTACCCTGTTCGTCCTCATTTCTTGAAAACGAGCACAGGCAAGGTGGACACGGCCTGCAAGAAAGACATCGCCATCCCTTACCTCTTTTTTGTTTTGTTTCAAAAATGAAGAGCACTGCATGCTTGCATACCTGCCGGGATGCTGGCAGTCACAGCTGCACAAGAGAGACCTGTTTCTTGCTGTTTTGACTCCATGCTCCTCCATGCATGTGCATGCAATTCGTGTACACCCGCCGTCARAAAAACCTAGAACCTCTACAGCACATGTGTTGACCAAAACAAGGACACATGCTGAAAAGAAGAGCCACCAAACCTTTTCAGGTTTSCATCTCTCACCACCCACAATCTGCAAAACATGACAACTTTATTAGCTAACAACATCAAAACAAAACAACTGACCATAACACGCGACCAAAGCAGGACATSCATGCATGGCAAGGATGTCATGGACTTCATCTAACAGTTTTCCGAGTTGGAGTCCACAACTCTTCCTTGCACCATCACATCCACCCCTATCATTCACCATAATGCCAGGAAAAGCCTTGCACGGCAGGATCTTTAGAAGGCAGAAAGGCCTCCAAGTCATACTGGGCATGGCCTGAATTGCTCATCAATCCTGTCCTRCATGAGCACCAAGTTGACCTGAATAGAAGGACCAGACCAGGGTAAGGAAAGCAAATAAGGAAGGCATGCACAATCCAAKCCCATCAGCACGTCATGTATGCATCCCTTCCTCCTGTACCAGTAAACCATGCTCCTCATCGATTGGGACGCCCTAVATGCAAGCATGACAAGACACAGGAACAGGGGAAGSGAACAAGAAAGACACAAYCCCTGCATCAGCTGAAAGAAATCCAGCAGGGACTTTCCTCACCGTCTGACTTTGATTCCATGCAGAACAAGCAAGGCATGACCAGAAAGCACGAGCAGGGCTGAATTGGACTCCATGCTCGAGATGTGGCACCATGCAGGCAGTCAAACAAGGAYAACAACACATGCATGCAGTCAAACAAGGAAAGCAACACATGCATGCAGTCAAACAAGGAAAGCAACA